ATGGACAGAGCTGAGAGAGGGGCTTTGCCCATCATGGGGGGGCTGTGCCCTGGCTAGTCTGGGAGGACTGGCACAGACTGGAGCACCCCTCCTGAACCAGGACCCACCTGAAGAGCCGGGAGTGCTTCATATATTCGGCGTCTTCGTCGTAAGGCTTCTGGCTCCCGATGCCCACCCAGAAGAAGTTTTCGGGCTCTTCTCCCTCATTGATCACCTGTGAGAGCAGGGCCAGGGCTGAGCGTGGCCGTCCCCTGCCCTGCCGGTCACTGGCACCTGAGGAAGCTGGCACAGGGCCCCCCTGCATGCCCACCCACTCACCTGCTTGCTGTAGGAGTCGTCGAACATGTGGTTCATGATGTCCTCAGCCAGCTTGGCCTCATCGGGGTCAGCCGCCCGGCCCACCCAGGTGTAGACAATGCCCTGGTTGTCCGTGCTCTCAAAGGGCACCTGGGGGAGCACAGAGAGTCAGGGCTGCCCGAGGGGGGTGTGGGGCACGTGGCTGAGCCCCCCCAGCCCCAAGGAAGCTCAGCCTGAGCAGTACCTTGAGGATGAAGCAAAACTCGGAGTTGAGCAGAGCAGAGTCTGTGTTGATCTGGATGCACCTAGGAAACAAGCCCACGAGGCACGGTCAGTCAGGCAGCTGTGCCCAGGGGCAGGTGCCCTGGCAGGGGCCTGGCAACCATGGGCGCTGCCTGGCCCAGGAGGGGCTGACCTGTTTGTGCGGATGTGGTAGAGGCTGGGCTGGGGTGGGCTGGCCCTGTCCTTCCGCTTGCCCCGGTGGATGACAAACCTCCTCTTGAAGTGTGAGAGGAACTTGGGGTTCTCCTGCTGCTGGGTCATGCGCACGACCTGGCCAGGGGTTGGTGGTGTTGGCAGTGCCACAAAGTCCCCCCAGATACAAGCCCAAGCCCCAAGCTCTATGGCCATCCCCTGCTATAGAGAAGTGAGGCAAAGCTGGGGGATCCCTGTGTCACCCCCCAGGAGCACCCAGTGGGGTCACCTCCAGCTTGCCAGGGAAGAGACTCTCGAACTTCTTCTGGAGGCTGAAGGTGAAGGTGAGCCAGCCCATGTTGGAGGCCTCCCGGCCCTGCCAGAAGTAGACGATGCACTGGAAGTCCTCCTCGGGCTGCTTCTCCTCCTCCTCTTCTTCACCTTCCTCCTCCCTTTTGCCTTCTCCCTTCTTCTTCTTCTCCTCCTCCTCCTCCTCGTACTCCACTGGCACCCAGTACCTGAGGGCAGGAATGGGGTGATTTGAGGGATGGGGCATGCTGGGGGTCAGGGCAGGGAGATGGGGGATAAGGGGAGTCCAGCAGCCCCGGGAAGGGGAGGAGGAGGGTGTCACCTGCAGAGGAAGACGTAGCAGTCGTGGGTGTGGAAGTGGCCGAACTCCTCCTCGGGCAGGCGAGCGAATTTCTTGCCCTCCAGCACGAAGCCCTCCATGCCATCCAGGTCCTCGTTCCACTCCTCCATCAGCTGCTCCGCCTGTGACCCCCACGTGCTCCGTCAGCACCCCTCCCCACGCCAGCGCCACGGGGGGACCCACGGGAGGGTCCCCAGCCCTACCTCGCTCAGGGGCATGGGGGGCTGGCGGGGCAGGAACAGCGCCGTGAGGTCGGCCTTCATCTGGTCCTTCTTCTCGGCGTCCTTGCGGACCTTGCCGGCCAGCCCGCCCTCCTGCAGCACCGTCTCGGCGTTGCGGGTGTAATCCACGCGCAGGACGTCGTCCCAGTTCTTGAACTTGGACTTGAACACCTAAATGGGGGAGCAGGTAACGCGCCCCCGGCCTACGGCACCCTCCCCGGCCCCCCCAACCGAGGGGGGTCTGCGCCCCTTGGCGGGGCAGGGCACCTGGCACTCGGTGCCCTCCAGGTTCCTGGTGACCATGGCGTGCTTGGGCCGGTGCAACATCCCGCAGAGCTCCTGGCTCAGCTTCAGCGCCGCCGCCCGCACCAGCCGCGGGGACTTCCTCCCGATCCAGATGAAGACGTCGGACCAGCAGTCCAGGATGTACACGCTCTTGGTGTCCAGCAGGCTCTGCAGCTGAGGGGGCCACGGGGACCAAGGCGGGGTCAGGCACCCGCCGCCTTTCCCAGCTGGAAAACATCCCTCCAGCATCCCCCACCCCAGCCCCGCTGGCCGAACCTGCCTCTCCCAGGGCACAGCCGGAGGCAGAGGGGGCACGAAACCAGTCTCACTGGTCAGACTGGGAGAACCTCCCCACCCCATCCTACCAGGCGC